GACCCAAAATTGCGAACGTCCAGGGATTTCTCCCACACCAAAGCAGCCAGAGCCAAAAGCAGCCCGGAGCGTCGGGCGGGTGAGCGACGCCGGCTGAGCCCGGGGGTGGGTTTGTTTTGATGGTCATAAAATCGGTGTGCTGACTCTGATGGTTTATGGTAAATTGTATCGCTGTAATGCGCTTGTTAGTAAGGTCTAAATGCTAGGAATATGTAATTGATAACAATTTAAGATTCTAAGGAATTGACAACAGTTCTTCAGAAGACGCTCCTTGCCAGTGCGGATTTTTGCCTGCAGTCTATTTTGCATTCCCCATCCAGCTCTCATCTGATGCTCTGACCATCTAAGGGATTAGAAGTATTTTCTTGGCAAGACGATTGCACAATTTACGCTTTTTTCCCAGTTCATATTCCCAAAGTTTGCATGCTTTACTCTTCAGTGTACCGATGGATCAGTATCCACAGCTTTGTTCTAGCCCGTGAGCTTGTCTTTGCACAGCAGCTGCTCTTCCATTAGTTGCCATTTTGATGAACTATGTAACTTCATACGCTTCCTTTTAAATCATTAGCGCTTCCTCACTGTCACGTTTAGAACGATGAAGTCATCTGTCACTTCTGTAGTGGAATCCATTTCTAGCAAAAATTTCCAGCTGTAAACTTTAAAACACTTAAGTTGTGTAATGTATCTCCTGATGCACCACATTTTCTGTAACAGAGATGGCTTGTTTCTTTTAGCCGCGGGTACATTATCTGTGGGGTCTCTTTCCATCGCTAGTGTCCCTGTGTGAGGGTACTTTTACAAACTACCTGAACCGGAAAGTAACGCAGCGAGTGGGCAACAAGGGGTGGGATTTGGGCCCCAGCTTTGGTGGGGTTGCACCGAAGGCAAGGCTCAGAGCAAGGCACAGGAGCCGCCCGCAAGCCTGGTGGCCGGCAGCGCGCTGCTGAGAGGGTGGACTGGGAGGCAGACAGACTCCAGGCTTCCCAGGAGGTTAATCTACGTTCTCATTTTCACAGCAGCGAATGACTAGAGGTGAATAAATTGTGTCTGTAAATAACTGAATTCACTTCTCTGGCCTGTGAGCTAGGCTACACGTTGGAAGCATCCCGTTCTCCGATGCTGTTACAGATTTAATCTAAGAAAGAGTTGAACTTCAGGCTTCTGATTTACAAAAAAACAAGAGGTGAGGTAGAAGAGGCACAAATACAGCCAGCAGCAATTAGGAAAATGATAGGATATTACAAAGTGTGTGTTCAGTGCCTCTTGGCATCAAGTCTTTTCCAGAGGTACGCGCGTTCAGAAGGCCTATGGAGGATTGTAACTTTTTTCAGACCAGTTACTTGTCAGAATTGGTTGAGGATCCCCAAGAACCTTTTCAGACAGCCGGTCTGGGTGGGTCTGCGGGTCGCTGAGGAGTCGCTGAGGGAACTGCAGGAAACTGGGCTTGTACTGGCTGCCTGAAGTGTGGAAAACACATTTTGTGAAGTATTTAATGACTTGAGACAACTGCAATTTCTAAACTGGTTCTTTACCAGTTTATACATGTTGCCAGTGTTTATGCATGTATCTCACCCTCTGACCCTCCCTCTGCCACCTCCTCTCCCTAGCAGCATTTACGTGTCCCATTATGCTGTTTTCTGTACAAGCAGAAAACCAGCATTTTTCCTCCAAGCATTTAATCTATTTTCTCTCATGTGATGCTGCATGACGAATGCTCCTAAGCAGGACATGATGTTAGGAACATCGCTTACAGTGGTACAGCAATGCAAACATAGCAAACATGAAGTAAAGAAAGCTTTAAACAAACCTTGGAGCGGGGAAATGCGATATGGTAAAAAAATCAGGACTTGATGTGGCAGGCTGCAAAAGATGTCGCAGAAGATCAAGTTAACAAAACCCACAGATTACAAAGCGTGACTAATTATTCAGTATTAACCTCGTGGTATTTTAGAACTAACTTTAATTTCCTGTGACATTCTTCATATTCTCTTGGAACATTTTCTTTTGATAATTTTTACTTTGTTTTATAAGAACTAGATCCGCAGCCTGGCTGTCGTGGTTTAACCCCGTCTGGCAACTGAGCACCACGCAGCCACTGAGCATTTTCTGTGGTATTTGGCCGCAGAATTCAGAGTTCAACCTTTGGCTGCTCTGCTAATTAGCAGCCTGGCATATCCCACACTGCTCACAGCCTGTGTTGACAGGGCAGGCAATAAAGCTCATACTTACCCAAACAGAAATCCCGTCTAACACATTAAAAATTATTTTAAATACTTGGAAATTCAGATGGTTTCAGTGTGTCAAAAAGCCACAGTCATGAGTAACGATGCTGGAGAAAAGGCACTGTATAATTCGGATTACTCAATGTGAAATAATGCAAGTGTGCATCTACCTTACCTGATTATTTCTTGTGTCGTGGCTTGGTCTGTTGTTTTGCTTTGGTTGCTGCACGTTGTTTTCCCTGAAATAAAAACCACATCATCAGGCAAATCCCCATTTGGTTTAACTGCCTTCAGGAATGTTGTGTTCTTCAAGGGATGAGACTACAGCTCAGAGATACGGATTCTGTTTCTGACTCCACCCCTTCCTTGGCAAATAATGTCACTATGCTATGTGCTATACCTCTGTGTCCATGTGCATTGGGTTTCTGTGGCAAGGTCTTGGTAGTGGGGGGGCTACAGGGGTGGCTTCTGTGAGAAGCTGCTGGAAGTTTTCCCTGTGTCCGCCGCTGGCCAAGGCCAAGCCGATGAGCTCAGTGGGAGCGCCTCTGTGATAACGTACTTAAGAAGGAAAAAAAACCCGCTGCGGCGCAGTAGCTGGAGAGAGAGGAGAAGTGAGAGGAGGAGAGAGAAAATAGCCCTGCAAACAGCAAGGTCAGTGAAGAAGGAGGGGGAGGAGGTGCTCCGAGTGCTGGAGCGGAGATTCCCCTGCAAGCCCGTGGTGAAGACCATGGTGAGGCAGGCTGTCCCCCTGCAGCTCAAGGGGGCCCGCGGACGGAGTCTGCTCCCAAGGGACTGCACCCCGTGGACATTATGGGCCCATGCTGGAGCAGTTCGTGAAGAACTGTAGCCCATGGGAAGGACTCACGTTGGAGTAGTTCGTGGAGGACTGTCTGCCATGGGGGGGACCCCACGCATGAGCAGGGGAAGAGTCCGCTCCCTAGGGTGAAGAAGCGGCAGAGACAACATGTGATGAACTGACCTCAACCCCCATTCCCATCCCCCTGCGCCACTGGGGGGGAGTAGGCAGAGAAGCTGGGAGTGAAGTTGAGCCCAGAGAAGAAGGGAGGGGTGGGGGGAAGGTTTTTAAGATCTAGCAGTTTTTCTCCTCTCCTTCTCTGATTTTGATTGATAATAAATTAATTATTTTCAAGTTGAGTCTGTTTTGCCCATGATGCTAACTGATAAAATGATCTCTCCCTGTCCTTATTTCAACCCACGAGCCTTTTGATTTACTTTTGTCTCTGTCCGGTTAGTGACAGTTAGGGGAGTGATAGAGCGGCTTTGGTGGGCCCCTGGCATCCAGCCAGGGTCAAACCACCACACCGTGCAATACAATTACCAATAACAATTAGGAAAATGCAATGTATTTTGTGGAAAAAATGCTTGAGAACTGGCAACTGGAGTATCTGGGTTAAACTACATGATAGCAGGGTACTGGCTGTTAAACTACCTGCTGCTACTAATAACAGGGAGGTCTTTTCTTCTAGGAGGTGTGGAATTCTTTGTATAGCTAAAGCGTCTAAGCAGCTTGCTAAATTAATCTGGAGCATGCTCTCAAGTGTTGAAATATGCATTTGTAGTAAGTGAAATACCTGTGTTGTCTTCTACTTTTTCTGCAAAACTTTCTTTTTATTGCATCACGCTTAATTACTGCTAATACAGTAATGATTACTATTGGCACCACAAGGAGGAAAAAAATAAGCAGACCATCCCGAAGTGATGTATCTAAAGAAAAACAATTGAAATCATGTAAGATAGCAATCTCGTTTAACCTCATCTTAAAGCCTTTTTTCTGCTAAGAACACCCTTCTGTTGTAAAAACTACAATCTTCAAATTATTATAGATTAAAACTAGTAACTCCACTGAAATTTGTAAAATGCTATGATCGGAAAAGTAGGATTTGGCCTTATGTTACCACAAGTTCCTTCTGCCTTACCCACCCCATGTTGTGCGACGTACAAACTTTTTCCTTTTCCATATATTTTTTTCAAGAATTCTAAAGCAGACTAATTCATGGCTTATTTGCTTACCCACAATTGATCTGCTTTGTCTTCCTAAGCTATTAATAAATACAAAACATTTGCATGTGAAGGCCAGCAAAATCCACTCTACTTTCCCGTTGCAGAACTTCATGGCTCCTACATGAGCCAACTGCTGCTTGCTGCATGCACCTCCTTAAGCCCTTTCCATACATAACGACTACTGGTTTCTTTCTCAAGCTGTAGTCTTCCTCTCTGACATCCATTTTATCAGAACTCTGCTTTAAATATCTAAGTAAATATCTAAATATCTAACTATTTAAAAATGTAACAGTAATTTATGCATTGCTTTTAATTTCAGTAATTTAATATATTACTTTTCATTTCAGACAAAATAGAGGTCAAATTCTCCCTTGGACCAACATCCCTGATGCCTGCAAACCCACACATCAGATAATAATGTTTGTTCTTCAGGTCAGTCCATGATTAAGTGTCCCGTGCAGTAGAAAAAAACAGTTGAAAAGAGACTGAAAAAAAGTAGATTATTTTGTCAGGCAGAGGGGGTAGAATGAAGGCCCGTTTCGGTACCTTACCTATGTGAGCTGGACCGCTGTCAACGCTGCCGCCGTAGCCTGACTGCTTACAGAACGGAGGCGCCCATCCAGAATCGCAGTGGCAGTTCCCGTTGTTGTTACACACCTACAGTCGATACAACAGGGATTAGTCAAAGGAACAACATCTTTCTGGAAGCGGCCACTTTCAAACTCCAGTGGATATTAAGAATTGCACGTGGAAACAAGAAATATTACTTAGCATTGCTTGGGAATAAGCTCCCCCCCTCCCCCTCGTAACATCCCAAAGCACCGAGTGACGCTGATACCAGAAGTTAATCCTCTGTAAAAGTTAACCTTTATTTTATTATTTGCCTGCAGTCCAAAGAACTTCTCAGTTTTACAACCTTTGGACTCCATCTTGATTTTTCACGGAGACATATATAAATCAGGAATCACTAGACTGTCCTCCTCAGAGGAATATTTTCCTTTTACAATTCAACAGCTCAGTAATATTAGAAAATTCCCTAGGGAAATTCAGAAGAAATGTCTTTCATGTTAGTGCTAAGAGCTTTACAGTATACTGGCAGCATGAATTACAGATAAAAAAGTGGACTTAACTTTTAATACAGATCAGAAAAAACCCCAAAGCCACCTGGGTGGTAATTGCTTTTATGCAGGGATTTTGCACCTATCTCTGTCTTCTAGAAACAGGGCATGAAAACTCCATCTACTCACCCCATTATCGTTACACTTCTGCTTTACATCACAGCTGTAGCCCAGATAACTTGCATCAACACATTCAAAACCTAAACAGGCCTGGAAAAAGTAATTGGTGCCTTTCAAACACAAAACTTCAAAAAATCCCATCCTTTTATAAATATACTATATAACTGTATACGTTTACAAGTCTACAGCTTTTACTTAAATGTTGAGAAAAAGGGCTGGTAGAACATTCAGTACTTCACAATTTTATAGCTGTATTTGTCTCAGATTTTCTCAAGCCTGCGGATGCATTTTGATGGAGTAATTTGAATAACTGGTAATGTAGTTCACTGATTTGTAGCATCCCGGTTTTTGAAGAGCTGATTAGTTGTTCTCAAAAAGCAGATTTTTTTATTACATTATGGCGTACAAATAAGAGAGCTATGTAATGCTTTTGAAAGTGAAGAACTTCCCAGTCGGTGGGATATATTCTGTAATGCTGCTGTGATTCCTCTTACCTTCTTTTCTCCACAGGCTGTTCCATCATGAACCTGAGCAGGATCAGGGACATCTGATCCTAGGTCGAAGTCAGAAGACCAGCATAAAACCCCAGATGCGTTACTGACAATACTCCAAGCAGGAAGGTTCTGAAGACTAACAGATGTGCACTGGAGCTTGCCGCACAGACTATGCCTGTATTGAATAAATGACACTCTCGGGCAAAGTGAACAGGAAAAAACCAGTAGCACTGCAAATACACCATCCAGTCAGACTTTTTAGCTTGCATTTCAGGGAACTATTCTTTTAAATCTCATGCTCTAAGAGTTTGTAACAGAATATATTTTTTACATTGAAGGTTTAAGGGCTAGCTTTTATTTGCTGGTGACTTACTGAATAGGACATTTCTTGTACACTCCGCCAGTTATTCCACAGTTTCCAAACCTATCTCCTTTAATATTTGCTTTTTCAAAGCATATATCAGGTGCTTTTCGTGCCCCTGCACAAAAAACAGTGAATCATAGTAAGCCACTGCACTGTCTTAAAAATATGAGAAAAAGAAAAATCGGAAATGTCTATTAGGAGACTACAAGTCTTTTCACATTAAATTACAAACATACCTTTTCCATATATAGATTCACATTGTGAATCAAAACTCTGGCACACTCCGTAGTAGCAATATGCCCTCATGTTGTCGCATGGGTAACCATTCATGATATAAACGTCGTCTGGACAGTAGGCATTGCTTCCATTGCAGTATTCGGGTAGGTCACAGAAATCCATTTTTGATCTGCACTCCACTCCTGCCACCTCAAACTAGAACCAGAGAGGAACGCCACCCTACTTTTATTTTGCAACAGTGGAAGTTCTAACATGAAACAGTGACAACTGGGAACCTTTTGTGATTTTAAGGAAGACAAAATAGTTTTTCAGATCGATATCTAATGAATATCCAAAACTTCCCTCAGTTTCATATGGTCTAGCTATAAAGTTTATGATTTGAGCCTGCGGAGGACTTGGGTAGATCGTACAAATGCATACACAAGTACGAATTAGAAAGCCGCCGACTATCATGGGCTTTGGAGAAGCTTGGTGTTGCATAATGGAGATCACTACTACTGAGTGCCCTGGTTGCTCCTGCCTCCCGCGAGGGGTGGCACAGAGATGACATTCCATTTCTAAGCTACTGGCCAAGAGCTGTTAGACAGCCATTCCCTACTTACGTGCTCTCTACTAGTGAAAGCAGTTCAATAATATGAAAATATGTCAAGAGTACTATGATAGCTCTTTTCAAACATTAAAAAATACTACTAAATAGTTTCAGCTTAGTTTAATAAAACATAGCCCACCTTGCAGTTTTTGCAGCACAGTCCTTGAGCGCATTGCGATCCAGGTGTGAGTTTGCAGGTTGCAGCATCACAGCAAGGGTTAGTACATTCCTGAAAAACAACCGTGGACGAAGGGAAACAGTGTCTGTACCTCACTATATAGCTAGGAAAGTACATCATCAAACCACGTGCATGGACAAAGCAAACAAAACGTTCTGAGATTGCATGTTCTGAGGTTGACAGCCTTCTGCTCTAACAGAAACCAGCATACAGTTTGGCGGTATTTTTTTATCTGAAGTCATCAGAAAGACATGTGTTTTGGTGTGTTGTGGCACAGGGGCATAGGATAGGTTTACACTTTAAATGGAGACTAAAAGAAGCGGAACACTTTGGGGTTTAAATAACACTTCTTATCTGCCCTCCATCTTATTTTTCCACTACACCTGGCAGTTTGATGTAAGAAGTGCTGGTTTCTTTTCATGTCTGAGAAGGTGGCCTGTATGATGGAACCTGGGTTTGCTGACAGCCTTTTGATTTATTGGTGTCTTTTCTGAGACATATTTATTTTCTAAAGAGTGAGTCTATATATCCCATTATTTGAGGGACATTTTGACAACGCAAGTATGACCAACAAAAGTAATTCTGTTGTGGGTGAAGTTCAAGGGTTACAGTTAGGAAACCTGTAAGTGCTCTATAGACGAGTAGTCTCTTTTATGTAACAGAAATATCCATGTTGCTAAACCAGCACAAAAAGCAATGATGTTTCCACATACTCTGCACTGAAATGCTCTTCTTCCTTAGGCATTGGCTCAAAGCTCTGTGAAGTCCAGTAGCCCTCAACTGAATTAATATCAAATTCAAAGTATGATTTTGGGCTTTTTCTAGAATTTATCTTCAAATTGCTTGCAAAAACGTAAATTTACAAGAAAAACTCCTCAGATACTAATGCAAATCAGGTATACCAAAAGGCCAGTGTTATACAACTAATATAATATAATATAATATACAGCAAGTATTCAGTTGAATTTAACCCATTACCTGCGGTTTTCCACAGTCACATTCTTCATTGTTATCGACCACATTATTACCACAGACGGGCTCCTTGTAAACATTACTTGTTTTGGGAGGATTTCTAAGGCAGTTTCCACCTCCATTTAGAATAAGGTTCTCAAAATCATCAGCACTGCAGGTGCTGAAATTCCTGGATCCGCTGGAAAGCATAATATTATTTTTTTATTATAAATGTTTTTCTTACAGGAAAAAATACAACTCAAGCCTTTAAAATACTGTCAGTCTGTAATTAATACCATGTTTCATAGTGTTAGCACATCATGAGATACTTAATTTTTACTTTATTTTGCATTGGAGTACAGTACTAGAAGTTAAAAATACTATATATAACATAAATGCAAGTACTTTCAGAAGAAGACAGCATCAGATTATCCGTTTTGGTCTCCTATGTAAAAGAGGCCTTGGAAAGTCCTTGTCTGTACTGAGTCTAAAAATGCTTGATTAAAAAATAATTTCCAGAAAGAGATTCACCTTAACTTGGAGTCCCTGAGAACTCAGGAACGCATCTTCTTCTAGTAGTTTTGGCCAGTGTTCAATTACTCTGATTTATTAATACAAATGTGGATAGATGCAATAATACGATATTTTTCTCTTACGGGGAAGCCAAAGAACAAATGAACTGAAAGAAATCTGGGCTGATAGTTTTTGTTTAAATTAACTGTTAAGAGAATCTGTGCGAAGGATGTTTGCGCAAACCCAGTGAATGTATGAAAAGCATTCGCAGGGGTAAAAAAAAAAAAAAAAGCAGTAACATACTGTCATTAAAAAAAACAATTAAGAACATCCAGCTAAGTTTTTAGGAATGCTACAAATAAAGAATGACTGGATTGGAAAACAGGTACAATTTCAAGTAAATTAAAATGATGTCAGGACCTAATTCAGTGAATTCACCTCTGTGGTTATAAAGTTCTCAAACAACTCCCAATTCACAAAGTTTTTCAAGATTCATGGAAGTTTCACAGCTTATAAGGCATAGTCACTGCAGGTAAATAACAATTATTGAAATAACTGGAAATCGTACTTATCTGTGCTGTGCATAATATAGGATGCAGGACATCTTTTATCATCATGTTTCATTCCAAGATTATGCCCCAATTCATGTGCAACTACTGTAGCATGACGTAACATATCGTTATGATTCAGCTAATAAAAAGAATCAGTGTTAAAAAATATAAAACTAAAGACACTACTAAGTTTCTACCTACTATTTATTCAAGCAACAAGTCTCTCAGAGGCTATGAAGACAGAATACTAAATTGTATTGCAAAGCGAAAGCAGCCAGAAAAGCCAGTTTGCCACTGGTTTTTCAGTAGGGCCAGATTCTGCCACTCTTTCTATTTCTTCCTTTAGGATCATATTCTGAATAACGACACAGTTAATCAGTCACGACACTGATTTCAATGGAGTCTTCAAAGACAAAAAGACAAAGACTGTTAAAGAACAGAATCTGCCTGAGATTGTCCATGATGTTGTGGCATCCATATTGTAAGGACAGGAACCTCTGGAGATACTGGTGCTGCCTCTAGCATCAAGGAGAAAAAAACTAGTTTCTGGCTAATTTTGCCAAATTTAAAATTCTTGCCCATTTACAGCCTCATTGTGGAGAATTCCAGACACTTTAGAATAGAGAACATTTAGAATATGTTCACTGTCTATTCATGTAGAGAGTCAAAAAATACACATTATTTTGTAGCTGCATTCCCACCCCAGAGCCACTGTGGTTATGAATCTTAACGGTACAAGAATGGGCTTTTCCTATACAACCTTGAGCTAGCTGAATTACAAAAAGGTGATAAAAAATATTTCAGGACTAAATCAGCCAAATGGACTGGAACATGATGAAGAGAGAAACTGGGAAAAAAAAATTATTTTTTTAAAATATAAGTATAAAAATATGCACAAGTCTTTACATCAGAAACCCCATGAAAGAAACCGTACCACTCCAAGACCTGAGTGACTTGAGCAAGTAGGTCAACAAATTGCACATTATTTATTTAGGACGGTCTGGAAGGTATCTCTGTGGAAGCAATGTCTGGCAACAGCAGCAGCTACAACTCTGGGCTGTGTAAATGCAAAGGGGAAAGCCTTGGATTGTTCAGGTAGCTCTTGGTCTCACTAGCAGCACACCTATCATCGTTTAGCAGCTCCTGTGCTAGTTTCTTCCCATAGCCACAACATTATGTACTTACAGTGCTGATTGACCCTCCCAGGACTTGCGAGCAGACGGTACCTACAAAAGCCATTCCAATGGAACCACTGTAAGAGCTTCTCCCTCTGCAACAAAAGCAGTTTGAAGGTGCTGTTGAGAGAGGGGCTGAAAGTTCACAATTTTTACTAAAAGACACTGGTGAGTCTGAAACAAATACTGCAAGTCAAGAGTTGGTCTTCTTGAAGTCAAGAAGAAATTTATCATCGTATCAGGGTTTCATTGTAATAAATAATGAACATCTGAATAACAGAGCTTGAAAATAATGACCAACCACCTAAATCTGCTGTGCCAGTACTTCCGAGTTCACAGAATCACAGAATAGTTGAGGTTGGAAAGGACCTCTGGAGGTCATCTGGTCTAACCCCCCCACTCAAGCAGAGCCACCTGGAGTCAATTATCTATAAAGAATTCATTTCACTTTCTCGACATTTTCCCAGGTTAGTTAAAACAGCTTGGAAGTTGAGTGAATTTTACTCTAGTTATATTTTCATTCATACACAAACCCAAAATCATACACATTAACAGCACTGGCAGCATGGCTATTTTTTCCACTGAAGGAACACTTACATTATGAGATGGCTAACATCATTTCGTGATCGCTTAAGAAGATCTTTCTGTCTCCAAGAAACGAATCTACTCAGCACATCTCCAGCTGAACCATCCATTACAGATATGTGGTTTGAATCTGTCCAGATCTCTAATCCAACCAAAACAATCTGGATGTTTAATGCTCTATACATCTGAAAAAAATATAATGATAATTATTGTCCATCAGTCTGTTTCAACTGAATTATGAGAGATTACATCACTACTACTGTAAACATTGAAAAATGACTGAGACACAACTTTAGTTTCTTTGAATAATCAACAGTTTGATGTGAGGAAAGAATATATGACTGAAGGCAATCCACTTCCAGTTTAAATGTGTTACAAATATCTGTATAACTTCCAAATGCAGTTTAAGAACATAATTGTTCAGATTTACTGCATTAGCTGTTCTTTTGAAAACTATGATAAAGTGGAAACTACTGAATCTCAGCAACATATCTGACCTACCCCATCAACGTAATTAATCAGCTCAACTGTTTCCTTTTGCACCACAGCAGTATCTGATTTCTTCATCAAAAACTGTAAAATATCGTATAAGAATATCAGAGAAAAAATGGAATGGTTTAATAAACTGCATGTAGCACTGGATGAAATCATTACCCTCTCCTGATCCACAACCACAAATAATTCCACGTAGCTTTTCTGTGGCAGGACAGCTCGCTTCTTCTGCAAATTAGAAAGCACAATATGTTAACTTAATGGCTAATGAGTTCAAGTTTTTTTTACTTATCTTTCTCATTATTTTCATTTCATGGATTTATGAAGCAATTATGCATTTTTTAATGTGGCCTATCAATTTGCTTAGATTTCCACGTAAACATCTGTATGTCAGTAATTCACTTCTGCTCAGATGCTGGGATGCATGAACTGAATGGCAGCTTCATGCCATTCACATCATGCCCCCCACTGCCTTGCGCAGAGCTCTGCTCTGCTCTTCTGCTGAAGGATGGCTTCAAGCCATGTTAAATTCCCATCGTGCTGTTCTTCTGTGTCAGGGTTTCCTTAGCAGTACTCCCACCAGCCTGGGGTCCATGAAACAAGGCAACAAGGCAGTGGCCTGCCAGGCCAAACCCACCTGCAGCGATACCACGCCAAAGCCAGAGCTCTGGAGACCCTCGGCTGCTGGAACAGACTGAGGAGAAGGCTTGGACTCAAGGGAGAAATGGAATGGTATTTACCCTGCTAGAGGTACTGTTTGATAAAAACATGTATTTCACGGAGTGCTTCACAAACATCTCGTGATGAAGGCTGCCATTCAGCACGCCACATTGGAAGGGCATATCCTGCATATCTTCTAACTGGTAAAACACATGTTCAAATGGGCTGGATGTGTTGAGCGGCTCCATTCCATACCATTTGCCACCAATGTGGAGAATGCCTCTAATAATCATAAAAGAATGAAAAATTATTCCATGGTTTTTCCCTTGTGGTTATGAATAAGTGAGTGAATGACAGCTGGATACTTAAAAACTAGAACTGTTCATACTACTATGTTGAAATAAATTATTATCTTAATTTCTCTTAATATAGGGGGTAAGTTCAAATGCTCAATGGGATCTCAAAAGACAAAACAGAACTTTTTTAAAATACTCGATCTTACACAAGAGTGGGCTCCTTGAATCAGTTAGCAGGAAAGCCAAATTGTTACTAAATGAGTCTGGATTGTGGGTACAGAGCTGCTGCAAAGGGTCTCTTTTGGTCTTTAGTCTCACTCCTAGCCCTATGCAGCTAAAGTAATCTAGCATTTTAGAAAAAGATATCTTGTAAGACAGAAGAAGAGGCTAAAAGCAATCACCAGGGTGTTTATGAGGGCAACAGCAGTATTGCACTGCTGAGTGCAGCTAAGTATAAAGATTTTGCGTTTGTCCATGGCTCAGAAACACCGAGTAAATGCCCATTTGCTGTACCAGAACCTTTCAGAAGCCATTATCTTGTTCTCCAGAATCTCAAAACTATATTTAGAACAAGAAATCTCTAGTTACTACCTAGTGAAAGAAGATCCTCAAAAAATGAGAGTACAAGGTAACCAAAGGATTCAAGTTTGCATAAGTTGGCAGAACAGCCAAAATGAAATACCTGTTTTGCTTAGTGAGATCCAGCGTTACCTGACATACCAGTATGTTGACCATTTTATGCTTCATTTAAAGGGATGCCAGGAAATGCCATAATTCATTGTGAGCAGCATCTCACTGTGATACATGAAAGATATGTGTGTGAACTTTATCATGTTTGCCTCTCCCTGTTTGTGAAAAAAACACCAAACTGAACAAGGCTCCTACACCCGACGAGTACATCCGAAGTCCAGCTCAGGAACCAAGCTCAGTGAACACAGGGGAGCATGGACACACTCTAAGCACGCTCAGAACAGCTCCACATTTGCTGTGCATGCCGACTCTTTTTGCCAACTCACATGGACTGATTCTGCGGGGAGAACACCACCATCTTTTATGCACTAACCTGGCCCCTTTATGTTTCTCAAATAAATGTAATTTTCTTGTATTTGAAACAGAAAAAAATGTTTCAAATTTGGTCAAAATTTTTTTCCACAGAAATGTTTTTTATTTTGAAACAGGTACCTCTGGTCAAGGCATTTGCATCAAGTAATAAAGGTCTCAGTTCATGCCCATGTTCTGCCTATATTTCGATTATGCTCTCTTCCATGTTATCTTTTTCTGTGAAGGAATTTTGGAAAAGAGGAAAGAAGTGGTAGTTGAGGGAAGATACAAAACCTCTGAAGTTTCAGCTTCATCAAAAGGCAAAATATAAAAAAAAGGCAAGATAGGATGGTGTTTTCTCTCTGTCTGTATGATGAATAGCAACTGGTTTTTTACTGTTTTACTCCCGTGCTGCGCAACAAATTACCCTGAAGTAAAAAGCAAGAGGTAATACCTAAGGCCATCACACGTGCTAAGAGCAAGCATTGAGTCAGCAATTCCTTCAACAGTGCCGTGGTAATAACAGTGTGTCTGAAACACAGCAGAACCACATAATTAATCACAAAATAAGGTTGTTGCCTTCAAATGCAAACTTATTTTCTAAGCAACCTTTTTATTTACATGACATTAAGGCTGGCTGCTACAAATTTACAGAGTTCCCTATTCTAAAAGTAATCCCAACCTTCTCAGAGTAAAATATTACTGGACGTGAGTAACTACAATAGCATTTGCTCCCTTGGTTCTAGAAAACAACCAGGTTTTTAGTTTAACCCATCACCATATTTTAGCAAAATCTTTTCATCTACATTGCTCATCTTGTTCTCAAAGAGACCCCTCTCAAAGGCTGATCTCTCTCCCATGCACAAAGCACCCAATTAAGTCTCACTGAGCTTACATGCAGCTGAAATGTGAAATTAAATGGAAAAGCATTTGTAAGGCTTGTTTGATCCAGGACCTCAAACTATACAGCTTTGATGCTGCCATTGTACCTTCAATTGCATACTGTGCAAAGGCAAACTAAACAGGTGGCTCAAATTCAGTCTGGCATAATCTCCTGGCATCTCCTTTCACACCTTGTAAAACAGTGATGTTGTATCGCCAGCCCGCTCCCACATACGATATAGAACCGTATGTTTGTGTCAGTGGTAACCGTTCGACAGAAATGCTACCGGTGTGAAAATTCCCCAAAGCCTCTTTCCCAGCAAATATCTTTTTCTTCCGTGGATACTTTATGCACATCACTTGTATTTCCCCCTCCACTGCCAAAAATGTAACCAATTTTCACTGTCCTATTACAGAGGTAGGAAGACACTCAAAATTAATGGTTGTGCATTCACTTTTGCTTTGAAAATATATTTAGATGCATACACATCCCCATTGTCATCCTCAGTTCTATCAAATTGTTAGTATGGCTTCAATTCTTAAAGTTTGGCTTCCCTGGTTTGAGGAAACTCTTACACAAAAGGGGAATTTTATTATGTACGATACCTTGGGTTTTGATGGCGTTGCCTCCAGTTTTCCATTTTCCCCATATGTATATAGCATAAAGTCTTCACTAACAAGCTTTCTGGAAACAAAAATAAACTACTGCTCTTTTAACAGTCTAGAAATCAAGAAATAAGTCAAGAATCCTAGTAAGTACTACATTCTGTTAGCAGCATGCTCATGCTAAATTATTATTGAAATCCACAGATGTGAAACAAAATACCTCAAAAATGAGCTGCATTATTTGGAAAATAAGTTATTTTGAAATATTTTAACTAAAATATCCACAGAGTAAGATCTGAACCGACTATGCTATATCAGGGCCTGGACTGTTACAGGCTCAGGAATGAGGAACAACAGTAATGGACAAATTTCTTCAAGTACAACGCTGGTAGCAACCCTCCCCTCCCTGCTAATAAAGAACTAATTTTGAACTGAGTTCTAATTTTCCATAAGGTTTTTCTGAAATCTACTATTTTGTGGTGCTAATAAAAAAAAAAAAGAAAATAAATTTCTGCACAACTGGAAAAAATATTATTCCCTTCTATTTGCAAGCTAGTACTATAACAGAGACCCTATTTAACAGTCATTTTGTAATTACTGCGGTCTGCCATTTAAATGGTTTGAAATTTTTCAATACTTCTATGCATTTTTATACTCTGCATACTATATGCAATTAAATCCCAAGATGGAATGATTTCTTAGAACACTCTATCACATACTTATTTTTCTTCAGATTTAGGAGGTATGTCCCATTTCTGGTTTTAATCGAGTAAGAAAGACTGTCATCCCAATGCTCCTGAAAACAGAACAAAAGATGTCACTTAATTAGGTGATTTTCTGCTTGGTTGTGTCAGTTCCATTTTTTTGTTTGACAAGTGAAGTCCAACTACTGTGTATGTCTTAACTATTTACCAGATTTACAAACCACACGTTCCTAACCCTCACGCCTTTCCAAGTCTCAGCAGCACACTCCACATTCTTTCCCATGGAAAATTTAAATTCTACTAAGCTAAGAAGACAGAATGAAAAAGTACACAAACTACAGCAGGAACTACATATGTCTGCCAGTAGAGATTTGTAGAGGGAATGTAGAAGACATAAGGTCTACAGAAAAATTAAAATGTAAAACTTGGGGTATTAAAAGAACAAAAAAAAAGTGTTAGTAAAGCTAAACCTAGACTACCATGCCCATAGGCTCAGGGGTATCCTCAGACGCTAGAGGAGAGGAGGTGGATACAGCTTGGATGGAGGTGGCCAGACTCTGTTCCCCAAGAAGGGCACAGCCCATGCGCGCACTCTTTGCCCAGCCACCACATCATGCTTTGTGACACTCCTTATGTAAATCATTGGCAGCTGGGTGAATGACTCCCAGATTGTTCCTTCCTTAACTGGTTTGCAGAAAGATGACTAATGCTATTTCATTAACAGTTACTCCAATAATGGAACTCGTCATCTGGAACAAAGGCCAGTTGCCTCAGCACTGAGGAATTAAGGCTCAGATCTTTCTCTTTAACCTGTGTGACACTGTGGGACCATTTCTACAAAGTGAGCATCAGCCCTTTAGGTGCTACATGGTGAAATCCTCTGGTCATCCAAAGACCAGGTACAGTGAGTAAATGAACATATACAACACGGATGTTAGTTCAAGTTGGAGTTCAACATCTAATCTGACTTGGAGGAAATGGAAGTATTCCTCCTGTTCCTTCCCGCTCTGTCTGTTTACAGACACTACAAGTTTGAAAGGTGTTAACTTAAGAGTGTGGTCACAGAGCTTTGTGGGGAAAATTTTACACTAAACTATTTGAAAACACTTAAGAATCTGAAGAGATAGTGCACATTTCTTCACAAAAATGATCTATGTATACTGTACATATTGTGTGTGTGTGTGTGTGTGTGTGTAATAATTCAATATTGTGAAAAACAGCAACATGAGAAGAAAAAAAATCAGATAGAATAACAAACCTCATGAAAAAATGGGTGGTGTTTCTCTCTGTCTGTCAGACTTCGAGGAATAATTATTTCTAATGTAGAAAGTCTGGATGTCTGTTCAGAAGATACACCTAAAAATAAAGTTTGAAATTTCTAAAGAACCAGAACGGGTAAGACATTATGTTGGCATCTGCGCAGTGGTGACTGCAGAAAAGCTGCCCGTGCTCAGTTTGGTCTGTACTGTCTCTGACAAAGTTCTTGGGTTATGCTGGGAAAGTTGGAGAAATCAACCTTTTAATTCATGGCCAAGTTACTCTTCATTTCTGGGTGTTTAAACTCAATATACGTGGCCTCATTCTCTGCAGAAATGCCATTCAGTCTGTGTTCAAGGTTAATGACTACACCACTCCAAACACAGAATCACACAGAATCCCAGAATGGCAAGGGTTGGAGGGGACCTCGGGAGCTCACCCAGTCCCACCCCCCTGCTCAAGCAGGCTCACCCAGAGCAGGGTGCACAGGACATCATCCAGATGTGGTTTGAATATCTCCAGAGAAGGAGACTCCACAACCCCCCTCAGCCTGTTCCAGTGCTCTGTCACTCTCAAAGTCAAGAAGTTCTTCCTCACGTTCAACTCTTCTGCTTCAGTTTGTGCCCATTGCCCTGTGTCCTGTTGCTGGGCACCACTGAGAAGAGTCTGGCTCCGTCCTCGTGACATCCACCCTTAAGATATTTGTAAGTATTGATGAGATCCCCTCTCAGTCGTCTCTTCTTCAGGCTAAACAAGCCCAGCTCCCTCAGCCTTTCCTCACAGGAGAGGTGCCTCAGTCCCCTCATCAGCTTTGTAGCCCTCCTCTGGACTCTCTCTAAGAGTTCCTCATCCTTCTTGAGCTGGGGAGCCCAGAACTGGACACAGGACTCCAGGTGCGGTCTCATCAGGGCAGAGTAGAGGGGGAGGACAACCTCCCTCGCCCTGCTGGCCACACTCCTCTT